GGTCTAGTCCTGGAGAAGATGAGATTTTGATAGGAGAGGAGCTGAGGCTGGAGCCTTGCCTGAGCTAGCTCCCCACTGCCCAGACAGTGGGCATTGAGGGGAACAAAATCTTGAGCATCGCCTCATCTGGGTAGGCAGGAGCTCCTGCGATCAATATGAACACTGGAAAGAAAAGTAGATCATGACAGTTACCCTTTCTATTCTATATTCTAAATTTCCTATCACTGACATATTTCATTTGTAATCTAAAATGCAAAGTTATAAAAAATTGTAGGGAAGAGACTGCTAATATTTTGTCTCCACTCCTCTTTCATCACGCTGTGGTCTCTTCCTCTTCCGGCCCCAAAGTGGGCAAACTAAACTCCTAGAGGATTCCTAGAGGTGGGGGTCACTTACACCAAAGTACAGGAAAGAACCTTACTTTGTTTGTCCTATGGCATACAATAGGAGCTTAATCCATACAGATGATCCTCATCTCATCTCACTCAGAAATGCCTGAAGAAAATCCTAGTGTCAGACTCAGGGCCTCAGAAGTTCACTGGAGCAGTATCCTGGGGAGGCATCCCTGTCCCCAGCACATGGCAGGCATGGCTGTTAGCAAATGTCTGTCAGCACATGTCTGTCAGCACTGACCCTGAGGGCCACGCTCCTTTTATCACCCACCTCTACCCTCACCCAGACCACCTGCTTCCCCCACCAGAGGGAAAGAAACAAATGGCGTGTGTCCCACAGAAAGTGGAGAGCAAGTCACCTCACAAAGGTGACACCTGGAAAGTCACAGATGGACAGGGACAGACAGACGAACAGAGACCGAGGAAGATAGAAATGTCTCTCAAAGGTCACAAAGAGGCAGCACAATGTCTTTGCTTCCACTCGGGACTCTCACTCTATTCCTTCTGCTCACTTGAATCACCCTCACTAGCCTTTGGGGACCACACAGGTTTGCTTCTCTCTGTAGCTCCTGCAGCCAGCCAGGTGCCCAGGGATACGCTGACAAAGTGAGTGGACAGGTTAAGGGATAATTGGGAGAAACATCAGCAGATGGGAAGTGGAAGAATAGAGACTGCGAGACCCAGAAGCAGAGGGAGACAGAGAAAATGAATGAATGAATATACTTAAAACAGAAACAAAAGATCTAGAGACCCAGAAACTTAGTTAGATACAGAGGCAGGAAAACAGAGAGAGGGGTGGGGAGAGAATGAAGAGAAGAGCCTTCCCTTAGAACCAGAGGGTTCCTGCCTCTGTTTCCCTGCTAGTTCTCCAGGGTTATCCTGGCGGTAGCCTAAGGGCGGGAGCATCCTGCTTGGTCCTGCCAGCACACTCCTTTGGGCAGGAGACTGTTACCTCCTTCTCCCCACTGCATACTGGCTGAGGTCTACCCTCCTACTTTGACATAAGGGGCTCTCCCACTCAGGAGACCCCAGCCAACAGCTTTGGCCAAATGCCTCCACTGAGGAAGGGCCCAGGATGAGTGAGATTCCCTCTCCTCATCTTGTAATAATGACCCTCCCCTGCCTCTACCAGCCCCCAGAAGCTGGAGGGGGGGATGGGAAGAGGAATGTACCATTGAGTCCCCAACGCCATGGCTGTCTGTTGGGAGGGGGAGAGTTAGGAAGGGGAGAAGCTGACTGGGCTAGAGGCTGAGGGGCCCAAGGGGGCTTCCTGCCTCCACAGAGCCTTGCCTTGATGCCCAGACTGTTATATTAGTACCAGTATTTCCAATTTCCCAAGAATTATGGGGGAGGGGCCCAGAAGGGCCCTTCCTGGGAGGAAAAACTGAGTGGGCGGTGGCCAGAGCCACCAAATTCCCGTGAGTCCTAGAGAATCGTGGGTTCCTTCCCTTCTCGTTCACCCCATCTGTCTCTGACCGCACCTCCCCCACTTCCTGGCTTCTCCTAAGTTCCAACCCTAAAGAGAGACATTTCCAAGCCATGGGGCCCCAACCCCCTCTACGGCCCCTCCAGTCTGCCTGGGCTCCAGGGAGACAGAAGCCCCCCTGCCTCCTCCACCATTGCGCCAGATGTGGCTGCAAGGGAGGGGTGGGCACAGGGCCCAGCTGGCAGTGGTCACTTGGTGGTCCTTTTGCTGCCGAGTCAGCAGATTCTGTTCCAGCTGCCAGGCCTTCTCACTCAGCACTTCCTCCAGCCCACTTTCCAGAGTGGCTGGGGCTTCCAGTCCCAATTCAGCACAAAAACTATCCTCGACCTTTCCTGGGCTTCCCACCCAGATGCCAGGGCCTGGGCTCAGCAGTCAGTGATCATGGGAGGAGGAAGATGCCCAGCCCTGCCCAGTGTGAGAGACACAGGGCAGGGGCACCAGAGCCTGCCTCACCCCTTCCCAAGCACAGAAGCATTCTGACCCACAGTGGGTCTCCTTGTCCTTTGCAAAGCAGTGAGGCATGCCATGGGCTCCTATCCCTTCTCTGCTCCCCAAAGTCTCTGCTGATCAGGCCTAATGCCTCCTTGCTCCCCACAGATTTTCCATCACAGGGGCAAGAGACACTGGCCACTCCATGGGAGCCCCAGCAACAACAGAGCAGCCCAGTCCAGAATTAAAAACACAGCAGGTGCTTAAAAGTCATGCACACTCAACAAGCTCTTTCAGCCCCGTATCACTGTCCCTCCAAGGTCCCTTGGGACTGATTCCTAATTCCAGGAACTGACAACAAGCCTTAATCCCATGGCTGGGTCTTAAAAATGTGGGTATGAATCCTGGCCTGTAGGGACAAGGCCTCCAGACAGCTCAGGCCCAGCCCAGCCTGGGGGCTTGAAGCCCTCATTTGACCCAAGCTCTGTACCCTATACAGCCTACCCGGGTCTCTCCCGGTTCCCCACTCTGCAAGCCTCAGTGAAACGATGCCAGGACATCTCCAGCCACTGAAGCAGGGTGTTGCCCTTTGTGGAGAGGTGGAATTACAAAGGCTCCCCTGAGCTCATAGAGCTGCTGAGCTGCCACGCCACCCCTACAGTGGGAGACCCAGCCTGAATGAAGAAGGGAGTCAGAGGGAGGGAATGGAGAGGAGGGAAGAGGACAGTCCTCAAGGGAGGTGCCTGCCTTGCACAAGTTTCACACTGGGCAAGACAGAGTGCTGAAGACAGGTAAAAACAGGAAAGAGACAGGGAAAATTGGGGGGGGGAGGGGCTTGAGAAATGATCCCCTCCCTTCTCTCACAGTCCAAGGGAAAGAGAGAAAATAGTGGCCATATGCCTGGTACTATGCTGGGTACTTTTCATAATCTTCTCGTTTATTCTCCCAGATAAACCATAAAAATGGTATTACCCTCAGGCTATAAATGAAGATTCTGAAGCTCTGACAGCTTAATTGGCTTCCCAGGGCAGAGGCCTGGCCAAGCCAGGACCCCAGTTCCATTATACTGGGGACCCCAGGTCTCCAGGCTTGGCAGGGGCCTGGCAGAGCTGCAGCCCTGGCCCTGGGAGCCTGTGCAGAGGCCCAAGCTGTGTTCAGAGCAGTTTATTCAAACAGAGCCTAACAGGAAATTTGGCTTCTCTGACTCACTCTGATTTGACCTTATTAAGAAAAAACAAAGAGGCGCAGGAGCCAGCATAGGATAGGGTTTCATGCCAAGAGCTGGCTCAGAGTTAGAGGCCTGCAGAGCACAATGGCCCATGCCCTGATCTCCCCACTGCTGGAAAGCTTGAGGCAGCCCCTGCCTCCTGCCTGACTTGCAAAGAGGGGTTCTGCCTTCTCCACTCTAGGCCTGTGAGGCTTCTCTATCTATGTGCTCCCTCCATTCCTCCTCTTCCCTTCCCCGCCTGCCTGGGGGTACCCTGAGGCCTGTTTCCACTTCACCTCCTCCTCTCCTGGCGTTGCTGCCCATCTGGCTGGCAGGAGGGCCCTATAGGACCCCAGGGATTCCAAGCAGCTGAGGCCAGCACTGCAGGGGGCAGGCAGGAGGGAGGGAAGGCTTAACCCTCCAGGTCCCGGTGATCCACTGTAAGATGGTTTTGCCTTTGGCTTGATGTCCTGAGCCAAACCAGTTGCTCCTTGCAGGAGTCCTGTCTGGAGTCTAAAACCAAACTCCACACTACGAAGCTGAGGGACCAGTACTGAATGGTTGCTGGCTAGGTTAAAGGATTTAAAGGATAGACAGATACCCCGAGTCACCTGAACCAGGCCTCATCCTAAAGTATAGTGTGATAGGTAAACAAGTGCTGGCTGGGGGACAAAGGTTCAGGATTCCTAAGGAATGTCCATTCTGGCTGTATCCTCCAACGGTGGACCCCAGGAGTTCCCAAAGTAGAAGGACAATCTGCAGGGGCCAGGTTAAAGGCAGGGTCTTCCTACCTGGTTTATAAGCACCAGAATGGGATTTCTACTCTCCAGTTCCCAGGAGCAAGGTTGGAAGGCAGAAGGCAGCCCAGAGGAGACATTCAGAATGTGATTTCTTGGACACCAAAATGTTCAAACAGGACTAGGCCCATTCTCCTGAATTGTCCATTCTGCTGTTGTATTGTTATAGCATACAATGCTCTGAATGATCCCCATCCCATATCAGACAGCCCTGGGTTTCATTTTATGCACTCGGGATATTTCTAGGCTATTTAACTCAAGAGATACAGAACAGAAACCACATATAATGTGTAGGAAGCTGATCTCTCTTATGATTTCACAAGTTCTATTCAAAACAGGGGCATATGTCCTTTCTATAGACCAGGAGGGTAAGAGAGAAAAAAGCTGAAGCTCCAGCCCCTTTGTATTCAGGCCCAAGGAACTGAGGTGTATGTGGGGTCCAGCATTAGAGGGTGGTTCAGCTAGGGATTAGCATCTCCCCAAGAAGGCCCATCAACAAGGAGGGTGTATCTTAGCTTTGGGGAATGGGAGCCCAGGGATCCTGGTGAGAAGCTAGAGTGGACAGGAGTCAGGGGCTCATTCAAGCCCACACAAGAAGCAGTAAGTATGGTGGAGACCAGGGAGTCTGGGTCCAAAGCAGAGAGAAATGGCCAGGGTGCTGCTGACCCCTCCAGCCCTGTTCTGCTTGCCTGGGCGCCCCTTGCCAGGCCTGAGTCCCCATAGGCCCCCTCCTACTCCAGGCTTCATTCCCTTTCTCAGAGGCAGGTCTGTGGCTTGGCTGGGAGATCCAGGAACTGAGGGAGCACAGCAGCTGTGGGACAAGCCACATAGCTAAAACCCGGCGGGCCATAGGGCCCTGCGGAGGAGACCCCAGCAGGCGGACTAGGCTGTCCAAAACCTCCTAACACTCCCAGCCTGTTGCTTATTCATTCAGAGTGGGAAAGCGCCAGCCCCAAGACCAGTCTGTGCAGGGCTGCCCAAGTGAGGCCCCCAGGCGGTCTTGCCCGGTGCCCGGCAGAGAGCCTCGTGCAACCCTGGGCACCGCCCCTGCCCTGCCCTGACCCCTTGGCCTCAAAATGCTGTCATCGGAGGAGCCGTCCCGCTCGGACCAAGGCCAGGATGGACAAAGCTAGAGCTGAGGCAGGCAAGGAGCCATCCTGTCCTCGAGGCCGTGGGAAGAGAAGCACGCATAGGGGGCCACTCCTGACAGCCTCTCCGTCCACCAGGCCTCTGCAGAGGGGCCACCATGGCTCTGGCCTCAGCCGGCTGGGAGGTGGGGGCGCTGGTGTGGGGCGCCTGCCTCTGCGTCCTGGTGCGCGGGCAACAGGCCCAGCCGGGGCAGGGCGCAGACCCCGGGCGCTGGCGGCAGCTGATTCAGTGGGAGAACAACGGGCAGGTGTACAGCCTGCTCAACTCGGGCTCCGAGTACGTTCCCGCCCGAGCTCAGCGCGCCGAGAGTAGCTCCCGGGTGCTGCTGGCTGGCGCTCCTCAGATCCCGCAGCGGCGCAGCCCAGGAGGCCCCCGGCGACGGCAGGCCCCGTCCCTGCCCCTGCCCGGGC